TTGTTGCGTTTGTTGTGCTTTTTTTAATGTCAAGCGCTGTATTATGTAAATGAAATTTGCTGTGACCTTGAAAGTAAAAGAAAAAGTGCGCTTCACAGTTGCTGTTTTTTGGAGCAGATTGACGTGGCGCTGCAAATTCAGTAAGCCAAAGTTATTTCGATAACGTCTGAGTTAAAGACCGTCCAAAAGTTTCGGAATTCGTACACTTTGGTGTTGAAAAATATGTTGCTGTAAGCTTTTCTAGCTTTTCAGCGCTGTAGAGTGAAACCCGGGACCCGGGTATGTTTATAGTGAAGCAAAACATTGCTGCAGTCCACCACTAAGAACTTCGGGTGCGAGAAGAATGGAACATTCTTTGGCATTTATTATGGTAGGATTATCCCCTTAAAATGCTGACCGCGAATACATCTTAGATGGTCAATCCGTTGTGACAAGCGTGATATTTTAGACTTCAAATATGCCCACAGAAAAAAGTCTAACGTCTTTTGGACGTCAAAAGAGCTTAGAAACCGATTACGAACTTTGCTACCTTCCACATAATATTATATAATATATACCTCAGTTCTACAAGTCTTGAACCACCTTAGAATGGCTGACGAAGTGTCAAAGTTAAATCTCATGACCCATAAAATATTTGAAAGATTACCATAACTGCACTTAACAACATTTCAATGTCAACCCGTTTACAAAAATTGTCAAGTTGTATTGTCTGGTGAGAAGAACATGGTGAAATAATTGAATTCGACAAAAGTGCGTTGTCATCGTTAAATTCGCATTAGCCAAATTGGAGAATGGGAGGACACAGTAAACATTTATTCATAAATATTTAATAATGCAGCACAAAGCGGAGTTAAAACTTGTAATATTTCAGCTGACAACCACGCAGCTGGTTATAATTGTCAAATTAACAATGGCATTTAAATGAAACGTCAGATTAGTGTCAATTAAAATGTTGTAGGAAATGTTTACAATGAAACAAAAAAAATTTCAGCGCAAAAATCAAGTTCAACCGAAGTTTGGATTTTGCTCAAGATCACTTTATAAGTGGTATTACTCATAAAACTGGAATCTCTTCTAATAAGGAATAATTATGCATAATGGATGGAATACTTTGTGAAAGCCTTTAGCCAACAATTAACTGATTGGACCTTATCAGTGCGGCTTTAGACCTGGAAAATCAACAATCGACCAGACATTCACTATGCGCCAAATCTTCGAAAAGACCCGTGAAAATAGGATCGTCACACACCACCTAGGGTCTAGAAACAAAATATCTCCCGCCATCAAACAAACCGTTGTCGACTCACGACTATGCTCCCACGTCACTGTTGTCAGTCATAACTTCGAAGTCGTAGGTAATTTAGTCTATCTTGGAACCAAAATTAACACTAACAACAGCGTCGGATTCAAAATTCAACATAGAATCACTCTTGGCAACAGGTGTCTCTTCGGATTGAGTAGACAGTTGAGCATTAATAAAGACCTCTCTCGACGAACAAAGACCGAACTCTATAAGTCAGTCAAGACGGGGATGATGTCATGCGTCAAACAGCGAAAAAGAAGAACAACTGGCGCGCTGTTGTTAACTCGGCTATAACCTCGGCGTCTGCGCCAATACAGAAGAATATATGAGATTTTGCTTGATAGGGTGGAATTGAATTCCCCGAAATTTCGAAAGTGATAGAATGGTAGAGTTGCTAAAGTGACAACTGATAGCTCTAAAGCAATTACTCCTCCATGTTTGTTAGGGATGGGCCGTAAAATTGCGTAAGTGAATAGGAAGTATCATTCTGGCTGAATATGCACTGGTGTAACGCGAGGATGAGCAGGAATGTAACTGATCTTAATGCAAAAAGAGGTCACGGTCGTTGAAAGCTTGCAGCCACTAGCCAAATGCTTGTAGATTCTTATAAAAAAATTTAAGCAGCTTAGCAGCTTGCGACTAATTCTGCTTGCTAAGCGGTACGAAATGGTCCGGTAGTAGATTTGAGTCGATTCTCACCGCAGCCGGAACTGAGAAAAACTTTTTTTTTTGCGATATTTTTCGAAACTCTCTCGGAAACATTGTAAACATGGCTAACAACAAAAACAATGGGATGTGAAGAAAGTAAACTCACATTTTGAGGTTATGTCCGATAAATTAGTTTATGACATACAAACATATATAACATATATAGTATAAACAAAAAAAAAAAACAAAGATTAACTAACACGTCCTTGAAACTAATTTAGATAAAGACGATGTCAGGCGTTGAACTTAAGGTGACTCGAATACCATACAAGCTGTTTTCCAATAGACAAAAACGCCGTAACACTTGGTAAGCGGGCCAACTCAGTTCTAAGATATGGGCCAACAAAATAGTTATTAATTTCAGTTAACGCCTGACATTTAAAAATAGCATTCCCACATTTACTTATATACATATGTATATACTCACTTACATATCTAAGTTTGGTTGATAGCACATTTTTGATTAGGCATGACAAATGCGGCAACAACTCGTAGGTTCTTATCATTTCGTATTTTCTTGCCAAAATCTAATCAAATAGTTAACAGTTTAATGATAAGATAACTGTGTGGCAGTTGCGCTACAACGGCATAAAGCATACATATGTAGTATGTACATACGTGAATGAAAATTGGATAAAAAAAAAAAATTAAAATTAATAA